TATTATATATTTGCTGAGGTCTTTTTTGGAAGATAAGTGTTGTTTTGAAAATGCTTGCGAGTGTTCTGTTGTTTTATGATAAACTTCTCTGCATGATTCTTTTAACGGTATTTTTGATGAATTACAAAGGCACTATAGCCTAAAATGATGATTTGGAGTAGGAGGAGTGTGCCCAGAGAATGGTGACTGCTAGAGCCTTAAAGTGCTCTTGAAGAGTCTGCAAAAGATGTCATCATATTCTCATTTTAAAAGGCAGGGTAAAACAATAATAATAATAGTTAAAAAAAACTAAAGCTGCTGTCTGGATGAAGTTTTTAAGGCTAAACTTTTGAGGTTGATGGTGCTGATGTTTTTGTAAATATTGTGGGTCCTGACCCATTTGCTGCTTCTGCAGTTTTTTTTTTTCCAGGATATCCTTTCCAGAGTTGGTCTCTTCTGAAATACCACACTATACAGCTCTCCTTATACCACTGACCATTAGGATAGTTCAGAAAGTCAATGTTGCAGTAGTTGGCACTCGGCACAGGTGAAGGTGCTCATACTATATAAGCCTTCTCTTATGAGTTAGAGGTTGAAGGGTTGTGTATCAATGGTTCTGTCTTCATTAAATTTGACGATGTTGGTTTTCATCTGTGTGGTTTGAATATAGAGTCAAAAGCAATTTTGAAACACCTTCTTAGTTTGATGGGGACATTAATATTTGAAAAATACAGTCTAATACAGAATCCTTAATGTAGCAACAGAACTTCTAACATGGCTGCCAGGAATGAGCCTTGGAAGTGATTTACACTGTCCTAAGTTTTTAAATGTTGTTATTTTCCTATTGTTTGTAATAATCCCTCTTCTGGCATGAAATAACTTAGCCTAAGTTTTTATAGTGTAAGTGCTTTGATTTGTGTAGCATGTTAACTTTTTACTAGTTGCATGTTTTCATTTTTCTTTCATGCATAACTGAGTATGGGTCCTTCAGGCCTCTGGTGTGGCTTGTACACATACTTTTAATTTTTTTCACATTCAACTGATTTTCTTAAAATAAGATCTTAAAGTTCATCAGTCAGTATTTCAAAGAATCTATATCTCGGACATAGTAAATTTTGGTTCTTGTGGGAGACTGGAGGAAAAAACTTAGATCTAAAAAAATGACAAGATTATTAATGCTTTTAAGTATAGCTTACAACAATTACCAGTATCTTCCAAAGAAAGCAAAAAAGCTTTATCTGCACATTGATTTATAGGACTTGAAAAGGTGCAAGAAAGACTACAACAATCACGAAACATCAGGATTTGGAGGCGAGTTAGTAGCTGACACTTAGGGATAAGAAAAGGATAACTTTAATAATGTAGTACTAAGAAGAGGTTCCGTATAGCTATTTCTGCCATGCTAGGCACTTAACTGATTCCATATTGCCACCTCTGTAACTAGGATTGGTTGTCCTTAGACTTCCCCTAAGACTCGAATTGTTTCACAACAATATGCAGGTGGGGAGGGACAGAAAGGGTAGATGCTGCAAGATGGAATCAACGAGACCTTGTAGGTGGCGGCACTTAAATTTGCAAGTGCACAAACCATGCCATCGAAGTCCTGGCTGTGTTTTATCTCTGAAAGCTGGGGTATCTTTATCTATTTTGGGCACAAGCAGCAAGTTTGTGTGCCGTATTATTAGCATGGGCGTATATTTCCATGTGTTAGCACAGACATGCATTTCTTAAACTTGAAAGTCTTGATTATGTGTACGCAGCCCTGAAAGGATAGTGAAAGACCTATCTCGTTGACATGGTGAAACATTTTGCTTTCAGTCCAGGTACTGAGTGAGAACCACAGTGGCATGAAAATGCAGCTTCTTGGTGTGCCCAGGGTTGAGGAGAATGTCTTTGAGTTCAGGAGAGTTGAAAAGAGCTTACGAAAAAGCAGAGTGGAGAAGCCGGGAGGAAACAGAAAAGGAGCAGTCAGTAAGCCCTGTTTCTGCAACCCTCCCCCCACCAATGAAATTTTTTACTATAGGTATTACCAAAAGAATAAAAAATAAAAACATTACAATTTTGACCAGCAGTCAAGGTTATAGCTGTTAGTATAATTATACTGTATACACTTATTCAAGATATGTGTATTTGATGCTGCTAACTCTGTTCTGATCTCATGGTTTTCTGCATATGCGGTAAAGAAGTTATGAATTTCAATGATTGTCTAAATTTTATTTCAGTTTGCAAATCCACATTTTGGACTAGCTTCCTGCTTTTTAATGTGTTCATCCGTTATTTATCTTTATTCTCTTTTGTAATCTGCTCTGTCTTTGATTTTGTTTTTAGAAAGCTTGAAGTATCAAGGTCAGCACAGATGCCTATTTGAGAGAGTTGACTTTTTTAGGCATAATGAAAGAACAGTGTGTGTATTTTAGCGCTCTCCCCCACACTGTCTTCTACCCTGCTAGTATCTCAGGGAGACAGAGGGGGAGAGGGACAGGCAGAGTTCAGAACAGCCTACAGATTTTTTTAAATTATCTTAATTTTACTTTTTTTGGCCTAACTAATGTGATAGAATATCTCTCCTAAAGTCTTAACCAATACTGTGATACAAGTGAAGGCTTATGGGCCCAGTATGTTCTGATAAAAGTGAGGCTATGATTCTGATTTTTGCTGCTGTTTCTGCTAGCCCTTTACTTCAGCATACTTCTGGACTGTGCTGCTTAATACCCGATTAGATCCCTCAAGTCTTTTGTGTTTTTAGACAGCAGCAGTTGAAAGTTGCAGAGTTTTACCTACATCAGTATGAATTATTAATCAAGAAACATTTCCTGAAATAAGTTTCCTGAAACTTATCCTGAAATAAGTTTCTCTAGAGAAAAGCTTCTCTTTGGGACATGTTTCGCTTTGGAGGAGGAAGCGATGGGGGAACAGGAAAGACCAGCAAAGCAGGAGTTCTGAGCAAAAGCAGTGAAGGGGAAGAAGTGAAGTGTTCCTTTCTCACTCAGTCTTAATGATTATGGCAGTGCTTTCTGCCAGAAGAATACACAACACCTCTGTTACAGTAAGGCCTTCTGGAATCGCTTAATGATCTTAAGGGCTCTTAATGTCCTTCTGAAGTGGTTTCCCCTATACACTGAAAGAACTAATATCCACTGGGAGCAGTCATCTCTGTGCTGAAGGCGTATGGCTCGGATGTTCTCAACAGAAAGGTTAAGGAGCCTGCATCTCTTAAGTCCTGCTCTTTTGTACCTTTATTCCCTTCCTCACGCTGTGTGTAACCTTATTTTCTCTGCTATTTAAGGTGAGCCTGTTTTGTGTGTACAAACATTTTCCCAAATCTCATTTTACCAGTAGTATGAAAGAAAGAAGGCTTCTGTTTTGGGCTGAAACCTTGGCTTGGGTATCAGTCATTGTGTCTGTCTTGAGTCAGCTGGTGTGTTCGGTGTAGTTTCAGGCTGAGGCCTTCTCAACCTCATGGCTGTAGGAAGCTGTGGTGCCGCATTCGGGGTGTGACAGCTGTGCTCTGCACTTTGTGCCCAGCCATGTCTGGCCGCTGAAGAAGACGCAAATAACCCTTTTCCCCAAGAGGTGATTGAGGAAGAGAGGGAAAATGCGCAGATCATGGCCACCATTTCTTAGAATGCTTTTTACTTATTAAGCTATTATAATTAGTAGACTCAAAACTTATTATTAATTCTGTTCACGCAACGCATTCGTTCACGTAATGAACAAAAATAAAACAAACTGATTTCCCAAGAGAAGCAGCAGCTGGGAGACCAAACCCAACTGTTTACTTGGAAGGGAAGGGCCACGCTGATGTGGCAGTGGCTTTTAGGTAGGTATTTGAAAAGTTCCTTGGAGGCCCTTATTTCCTCATCTGTGTATATGATCCTGCCGTCTACAGCAGTCTATAGCAGTCGACACCCCCTTGGATGTGCTCCAGGTCACGCAACCTGTTGTCAGTACTACTGTGTGCTGTTAGCCTTTTACAGATTCAGTGGGCTCTGTGTCCTCAGTTTATTAGGTCTTGCAGGCTCAACATGATTACCAGCCTGTAGGGCTTAATGGTCCTTGGGAAACTTCTGCGCGCTGCCTTCTCAGCATGCTCTCTTTTGTTTGGCCTGTCTCTTTCTGGTAACTATTTATCCATACTGATCCGTAGGTACCTTTAAAACAAACAAAATATTCACGCAAACTCACACAGGAGGAGCCGTGACCACTCATATGTCTGACTTAGTGGCTTCATCCCTAGGGTAGCTCTTCTGACAAGGGAAACAACCCTGAGTGTCACCTGCAGCTTTCTAGCTGCAGAGGCTGGAGAAAACAACTCTAGAGGACTCAGTTATTGTAGATGGCTGTGATCTGTTTCTGGTTAGTAGCTTGGCGCGTACTTTGTTTTTCACAAACAGAAAAATCACAAAACTAGTGCAGTGAAATGAAAAAATAATTTAAGGCAGTAAGGCTGGGTCTGGTTACAGGGAAGAGCATGAGTGCCTCCTGTTGGTAGTTTCATGGAGAGCCTCTGTCATGTACTTCCTTTATTAACTGAGGGTTTTTTTTTTTTTGGATGATTTTTAAATGTCAAACTTTGATCGAAAAGCTTTCATGGTTTGTTTATAATATATTTTCTGCTTTACATATGGCCTCTGTCCCTCTGTGCACATCTGGCAGCCAATGTCATTTTGAGGCACTTAAGCTAACAGTGCTAGGAACTTTCAGTTGGTCGTTCATTCTCGTAAGTTTCCTTTGTTTTCTCACCTCTGGTTACTAGACTGATAGTGATTGTCAGAAGCTTCTACAGATTTGATTCAGTTTGCCTAAAATTACCTTAAGACAGAGGGAGGGGAAAAAAGGAAAGTTAAGATGGATGGAGAATACATCCTTAATTAGAAGAACTAATCAAAATTCATCCAAAACCATCTTCATATGCCTTAAAATTAACCTTTTATGCGTACGATTCACCTGGCGTTTGCAGATTTCAAAATGAAAAAAAAAATCATGCTCCCTTTTGTTTTCTTTCCTCGTATTTTTTTTAGGGACTGTGATGAAGGAACATGCAAAGACAAATCTAATATTTTGTATGCTTGGGCAAGAAATGCTCCACCTACCAGGCTGCCCAAAGGTATCGTGACTTTTATGTGAAGTTCTTGCATTCGGGGGCAAGGGAGAGAAGATGATGTGGAAGTAAGCACCTGGCATCTCTAGGAACCTCATACAGTGTTTTATTATGTCTTGGTTGATTGAAACTGTAAACTGTAACCTCGTAAATTGTGGATACGTTATGCTAAATAATGTATTTGGGAGGGGTTTTTTGGCATCATATTTGCTGTGACTTTATGGGCTTCAGTTGGGGGAGAAAAAGGTTGATGGAGAGATAACAATATAATGCTTGATTTTTATTTATTTATTTTTTAGATATATAGCATTAATCTTGCATTTGGTACGATGTATTACTAGAAGTGCACTACTTATGCATTGTTCAGCAGCATAGTTTATATGATCCCTCTGAAACTGTTAAAATATTTTCATGTCTTCAGGAAAGCACATAAAAGTTTTCACCTAAGCATTGACTTTTTCTGTGGTCTTAAATATTTTGGATAATTTTACATTGCATTTCTTGATGTTTTGATGCAGTTGGACAGCACGTGCATACCCATGTTTTTATATAAATAAATGACTTTGAATCTGATCAAAATTTCCTGGGCCAATAGGAATGGTACTTCTGAAAGACAGTGAAAAGTGGTTCTTTCTAATAATCTTCCAGGAGCCCTGGAAATATCTCCTGTCTATATAGCCTCAGTTTGAAAATACCTTGAGTTTGAGAAGTTTTTTTTCTTGCATTTTTACTACCTCTTCTCATAACCCGGAGCAGTGCACTGTGCGTTTGCATGTTTATCAGCAGGAGTTTTATTTGTTTTGGTTATCAGCATGTCAATTTAAAAAGAAAAAAATGTTACTTGGACTCTGTGGAGGCCTGGTATTTTACTCTTGTGTTAAACTCCAGTGAGCAATAATTCTGTTGTCTCTAAGATATCCGTAAATACAAGGGGTTTTTTTACAATGATACTGCATTTGCGAACAGAGATGCTGCAGTCACCTTCACAGGTACGCGTTACAATTGGCAGTTTTTAATCTAGTGGGATTCACTGGCTGAGTAAGCAGAAATTACTTTTTCTGCTGCTTTCCAAGTGTGTTCATTATAGAATCAGTATGGAAAAATCTCTTTTGGTGATGGTGATACTCCACAACTTGTGTTCGTCATTTCACGTTCTTCCTCTGTTCATATTGTTACTTCTGTCAAAAACTGACATAGTTTCATAACTTCCACAATATTTTTTTACAGTTAAATATTTTGGGATGGAAATTAATCTTATACTGCAATCTTATTTTCATTCTCAGTGTGTTCTCAGGTCAGTTTTAATCAATCTGTAACCTTCACAGGTAGTATAAGAAAAGAAAATTCTACCAAATCCTACAGGAGTGGCCAAAACTGTGATTATTATTACTACTTTTTTTTTTTTTTAATAGTTGTGTCAAATCTGTTTTCAGGTTCTGGGAATGGGAGAATTCTTTGTTTAAAGCAGGAATCTGTTTAGTAATAATTAACTTATGGTTCTAGCTTAGTCTGTTGGGGAATGTATGGTGCTGTTTTTCTCCAGTTTTCAGGGAAACGTTTTCCTCGTTGATATCTCAAGGACGTTTTCCAGCCCTTCACTGTAAGCCATTGCAGTAATTTGTATTTTTAGATACTGTCAGCAGTGATGAATCATTTTACATTTTATTATTTCTGAAATCTTGATGTGTTTTCCTTCTCTTAAGGTGTCGGATTCAGAGTTGGAGGAGAAACAGGAAGCAAATACTTTGTGCTCCAGGTACACTATGGCGATATCAGTGCGTTTAGAGGTACGCATTTTGAAACTTCATTCTGTGTAGGCTGTATCAGTTACGGAAATTCTGAGCTTTTAAAAATATGTTCATTATCTGAAGAAATAAACTTCACTGCAAAGATAAAGATCACTAGGCATACTTGAAATAAAATTAATATATTGACTTGATTTTTTTATAACCCTGCTTTATCTTTAAATATTTGAAAGAAGGTGAACAAAGATATCTTTTCCTTCAAAAAAAAAAAAAAGTATATGGCAGGCAACTTGATCTAATGAAGAGGCATGTTACTAATCTTAAGATGAGGGAGCATCTTCTTTATCACTGTAGAATGCAATGTTTTATTTGAGAAAGCTGAATGAAAAAAATACCCATAAACTTAATCTGTCTTAACTGAATATCTAGTGAGAAAGATGAGATCTACTTGCTGGTCGCTTACAGTGTCTGTGTTTTGAGTTCTAAAAATGGTAAAAAGTGGAGATGGTATCTCTTGCTATCTCAAAACAAGATGAAATGTAACCCTTTCAGGCATGGCAATATGTCTATTGCTGTTTAATGAGTGTTTGGACTGTTTGAAACAGCCCTCTGATGGAGGACTGCTTTGGACAAGTTTAATTATCGTGTTTCTGATGTATGTTTTATGTTATACCATGCTCTTTAAACTTGAAATGCCTTATTCTGACACCTTTAAGATGCATGAATTTTTTTATTTTTCACTCTTGTGAATCACTTGCCATGTGGCACCTTTGCTCTAGGGCCCCTGTTGCATTCAAAAGAGGAAAAAAACAAACAAAGAAACAAACAAAAAAACCCCTTACATCATCAGTCTTAACTCTTCTGTAATACATTACTGCACAGAATTTAAGCAGGAATGTGAAGATCCTCATGGAGTGAGTGATAAATGAAAATGTTGGGCTTAGAAGACAGGGGAAGTAAAATAATAGGAAAAAAAATAGCGAGAATTTTAGCTTTTGTTTTTTTCCAAAATGCGCATAGCAAGAAATAAATTTTAAAAGTCCTTGACTGTAGTAGTATAACAAAATACAATAACTGCCCAGTGCTGATAGAAGAAAGTAGAAGTCACTTCACAAAATGAAAACTGTAGAGCATATGCTGAACAAGGGGAGATATGCAGTGCGTGAGTAATTCCTAAACTCTCCCAGTGGCCTCTAAATCCTTTGGTGTTGCTGTAATAAATGCTGAGTACAACATCAGATTGTATCAAGTTCTCAATACACGAGTATCTTTATAGTTGGCAACTCCCCTCAGCCACAACACCTCTTTTCTGCACACTTCTTGCAAGTTTGGGCAAAGCTTGCCTAGGTTTTTGGCAACAGTGTCCTATTATCTTTAATGACTTGTCTGAAGTTGAAGGTAAGGTTTCTATTGTTGCATGAAATGTAATTTATCGTGACAGTGATAGCGATAACTGGGGGGGGAGGAGGAGGAAGGAACAAATTGAGTGTACTGGAACTGTTTAAACGAAGGTGGTGCATATGCACAACTGAAGTTAACTCGGCCAGAATCAGTTTCCGTGGCACTTCAGAGGACTAGGACAGCTGTGAGATTCTTCACCTGCCAAAGTAACTTCTAATTTAAAGCTGCTAACCTCTAAAGAAAATAGATTAGGTGAGAGCCTGCTCTTTGTTATTGCTTGGGGACAGTGAGAGTTAATCTTCGCTCTTAAGTACAATTTGTGCATATGTAGTTACAAGGAGCAAAAAAAAATGAGATGAGTAACTTTTGTTGCTCATTAGTTGAAGAAGTGTTTGGGAAATTTTAATTAGTAAATTCACTTTATATTCAAATCTCCTAGTCAAAAAAAAACCACAACCCAGTCTTGTGCACAGAAGAGAAGCTGTATTAAAATAAGTTAGCAGCTTTCAAACCACTGCCCCCCAGCAGACTTTTCTGTGAAAATGATTTTTCTGTGTTTTTGGCCCCCCCCCCCCCCAAGGATGTCATAGAAATATACTCTCATCATTTTGCAGGTTTAAGAGATGTGGACTGATAAGAAAGCAGTAATTTAGGAGATACTTTTGTCATATTTTATTTCAACAGTTAAGAGTATGACAGAATGCCATCTTTTTATTTTTGTACCCGTTTTACTTGGTAATCAGTTCTTTTATTTTTAAAATGAAAAAATAATTTAGTTCCTGTATCATTTGTGAGAAGAAAATGTTTCTAATTTATTCTGGCTGTTAAAACTCGACTTTGAGCAGAGAAAAATACAATTTAAATCTCTGAAACCTTAATTGCTATGTTCAAGACCATTTAATACAGAAGCTTAGAGCCTTAGTTAGAGATGTTCTTAAACTTCAGGAATGCTCTCAGAGAAACTTTCTTGTATCTGCTGAGATGTCAGCTGATAACTGTGGCTTTTTGAAATGTAAGAATATAATCATTGCACTTTGTGTGTAAGTACATGCAGTTGCCGCAATTCAGAGTAGCGGAGAAATGATGAAAACCACTAAGTTAATTGGGTATGCTTTCAGCAGCACATCAAGGATTCAGAAGTACTGTTCAATTTTCTGACTTAAATCATTGCAAATACAAAGTATTTGGCTTGAAGTAGTAATTATTTATGTACTGGCATCCAAGTCGCTGTCTTATCAGTTTTGGGGAAAAAAGGTCTTAGGAAAAACTTCTCAACCCATTTTCAACTATTTTTAAAAAGGATATTTCTTCATTTCATTAACCAGTTATTAAGCTAATTATGCTTGCCTTTCCTTCCCTCCTTAGCCAGATTTAAGTGTTTTCACATTTAGATATGTATGTAATGCTCAAATATCAAAATAAAGCATGTTTTATCTTGTCTAAAATACGCATAGGTTAAAAAATGAGCTGGAAAAACAAAAATGATTTCAACGATGAAATTTGTGGTGGGTTTAAAGAGCCATCTTAGGAAGATAATTGTTCTGTTTGACTTTTTTCCCTTTTTATATTACTAAAACAAAAATTATTTTGAGTTGGAGTTATGGTTGATAAGTAGGTACAGTTATGTTACAAGTAAAAAGTAGGTCAGAAGACTGTCTGTCTTTTTTTTTTATGTATACTCAGGTATTTCAGGGTTCAGATTCAATTTAAAGTCAGTCTAACCATCTTAAGATCTATTACGGCTTGCAAACAACTTTAAGTTTGGTCTGTAGGGATATGCAGTGCAGTTGTCATGCTATTCATGGTTTATTCTTCAGCCTAAGGGGCTTCAGATCCGATTTAAAAAAAGTATATATTTTTCTTCTTTGAATCCCTAGAGTTTCTTTTTTCCCTGCCCTCCTAACTGTAAAGATTAGTGTTGTTTCTAACCTGCCATACTAACATCTTAAGCCTTTCCAAGAGTCGAAGCAATTAAAAGTAGTTAGAAGCCAGGTAAAATGAACGTATGAACTTGTTCTGAAAGAAAAGTAGTCAAAGGCTGTCGCTTTTCTATGCATGTAACCTGTTGCGTTGTTTGAAGCGGCTGATGCTTGTCAGTATGCTTGCAGCAGACTTCAGGGGAGTTCTTTTTTGTTCATCTTGGTATTTTTTCTTTGTTTAAGTACACGTTTGTGCTTTCAGCTCCTCCTAACCCCCACACCTCTTCCCTGAAAATAGATTTTTCTGCCAGTTGTCATTTTTCACAAGCTTTATGTTACCAACATTACACTAAAAAAAATAAAATAAAATAAACAGATATACCCAGGGGGTGTGTGTGTTCTTTGTTTGGGATTTTTTTTGATTAGTTTGTTTTTGTGGGTTTTTCGTTGTTTTTTTTAATTTTTTTATTTAACTAAGGAGTCCAGTTTTGGCTACCCACCTGAGAAATTTCTTAGAAATAACTGCGATCTCCTACTCATAAACATGTGAGTTGTAAGCAGTCATTTGAGTATTAGTATTATGTGAACACTGGATACAGTGTACTTCTCTTTGATAAGGCTTAGCGTTAGAGTGCTTTTAAATTAAATTTGCATATTTGCTGTCTGTGATTTGCTGATAAAAATAACATAGACCTGAATATCAGTCATCGGTGACTTTTTGCAGGGTATTTATTTATTTCAATTTAGAGGGGGGAAAAAAAACCCAACTATGCACGACCAATATCAACAATAGTTTGTCTTTTTTTCCTACTTGGGAAGTTGGTTGTAAAAATAACAGTGGAGAGTCTATGCCTGCATTTTGTTTCTTAAAAGTGCAGTTAGTGTAAAAGAGAGGGGGAATTCTTTTCTGAGCTTTCAGAATTAACTCAGAACTGAATAAAGATATACTTTCCTTTCTGCTTGTTAGCAGACTTTTAAAAGAATATTGCTAAACTGGTTTGGGATGAGTGAACAGACCAGCAATAGCCGGTTCCCTGACTCACAGGAAAAAAAAAAAAATTCATCTAATGTTCTTTCTCGTGTCAAAATCAAATGCAGCATATTGAATTTGGCTCTTTCTTTAAAAGGATTAAGTTCACTTTTGTGCTATATTTCTTTGTCTTTTAAATAGAACTTGGAGGAGATTAATTCCCAGTGGGCATTAGCTTAGGAGTTCCCTTGCTCAGATAGAGCTTGTGCTCCCAATGTGAGGCTGCTTCACATCTTTAATGAGGCAAAGTCAATTCTGAGAGCATTTGTGGAGATTCTGGAACAAATCAAAAAGCTGACTTTTAAAGAGCGAGGGTTTGGGAACTTGGTTATGAAGGCAGCGTGCTGCTACAGTGAAAGCTTGTGAGTATCGTAGTAGCCATTTGTAAACTCTGTACTATTCCTGTTAAACTTTAGAAATAAAGCGATGAAGGAACTGAATGCGGAGCGTAAACAGTGTGCTCTGTAGTTCGTAATCCATGTACCCGGAGAGCAAAGAGAACGGGGGTCTCAGGGGCTTTATTTTTCTAATTCTGAATTAAAAGCACAGGATTTTCTTCAGTATCTAGGCGAACTTGACGGGAAGTTGAATATCACTTCTGCAAAAGAAGTCCTCTGCCTCTTGCGAATTTTTAAAGTAGTTACAGGTGCAAACACTTGCAACAGTCTTGCAGCCCGAGCTGCCGGGGAGTCGGGCATGGAGGGCAGGCTGCTGCTTCCCGAGCTTTCCACCAGGCTGCCGCCTGTCGTGTTGAAAACCTCGGCAGCTGCCTCCCGCACAGGAGCGAGTTTGTTAGCTGCGGGGCAGCCCTACGAGCCTCAGCGTTTATGGCGGATTATCACCCGTGTAACTTCAACTGGTTTAGGATCGTGCATTTGGGTAGTCCGATCGGCAGATGTGCACTGGAAGGCTTACCAAAAGCAGCCTGGAGAAAGAGAGCATCTCTGTTTAGGATAATTTGGCTTCTCCTCAATTTATGAGTGCTTCATTTGACATCTTGTGACTATTCCTAGTATTTGAGGTGTTTTTCCTAGAAAACTTTGTAACGGGAGTAGCACGGATGATTTTTTTGTTTTATTTTTTACTAATATTTATTTTGGCTGCTGAACTTACAATTACCATTATAAAGTTATCATGTACACATTTTAAAACAAATGAAGCATTTAAAATATCAGAAGCCAGCGTCAGGCATTAACTTGCACCACTAATTTTGTTTGATATTGGTAAATAAGGGCAGCGAATATTTTAATACGGCTTTGTTATACACGTGCAGCCTACAAAAGGCAGTGGAAAGCACTGTTTTGATTTCGGTGGAAACTCTTCATGGAGAAATAGCTTTGAGATAAGCATGTTTCTGGGTTACATAAATGCATTCCCCTCTCTTTGCTGCATGGCAAATAAAAGGTAGCAATTTATTTGCCTTAGACTGGTGTAAATTTGCTGGATAGCTGAAATACAAAAATCCAAGTAGTTAGGCGAGCTGGAGTGACAGACTGGAAAGAAGACTAAGGTTTTATTTGGTTTGTGCGGTGTTTAAGGATCTTTCTGCTTAAGCCTCACAGTGACACTCCAAAAGAGAGCATGAACCGACACTGCCCCACTGCTGTCAGTTTGCTTGGGTGTAATGTTCAGCAGCCTGGAAGTTTCAAGGAGGTGAGCTGTAGGGAA